CAAAAATCATAAAAAATGGACCAAAAATCATAAAAAATGGACCAAAAATCATAAAAAATGGACCAAAAATCATAAAAAATGGACCAAAAATCATAAAAAATGGACCAAAAATCATAAAAAATAGACCAAAAATCATAAAAAATGGACCAAAAATCATAAAAAATGGACCAAAAATCATAAAAAATGGACCAAAAATCATAAAAAATGGACCAAAAATCATAAAAAATAGACCAAAAATCATAAAAAATAGACCAAAAATCATAAAAAATGGACCAAAAATCATAAAAAATGGACCAAAAATCATAAAAAATGGACCAAAAATCATGAAAAATGGACCAAAAATCATGAAAAATGGACCAAAAATCATGAAAAATGGACCAAAAATTATGAAAAATGGACCAAAAATTATGAAAAATGGACCAAAAATCATAAAAAATGGACCAAAAATTATGAAAAATGGACCAAAAATCATAAAAAATGGACCAAAAATCAAGAAAAATGGACCAAAAATATGGAAAAATGGACCAAAAATATGGAAAAAGGTCTAAAAATGCTCAAAATGGGCCTAACAAGTGCCGAAAATCATGAAAAATTGTCCAAAAATCATTAAAACTGCTCAAAAATGAGCGATTTTGGCTGGAAAAAGTCTGAAAAGTCAATTTTTTGATCAGAAAAACTGTTTTTTTGGAGCCAAAATCTCTAAAAAATCACCTATTTTGGCTGAAAATGGCCTGAAAATTCACTTTTTTGGCGTAAAATTGCTCTAAAATGAGCCAAAATCATGAAAATTGTTCAAAAAAACCTTCCAACCCCTGATTTTCAGCTTGAAAAGCTTTGAAAATTCCAATTTTTGGCTCAAAAATTGACTAAAAATGACCTAAAAATTCGATTTTCAGCTCAGAAATCGCCTTAAAATCTCCCCATTTTTCCAGGAAATCGCTCTCCGCTGTTCACAATTTGCGAATCGGAACCCCGCGTCGTCACCACCTATCAGAATTTCGACTCGCTGCTCACACCAGAAGATCATGTGTCTAGGTACGGGGTTTTGACCCGAAAATCGCGATTTTTGAGTGATTTTGAGCCCAAAAAATGCGATTTTGGCACATTTTTAAGCTAGAAAAGTGGATTTTTGGCCTAAAATAGCGCGCTTTGAATCATTTTTGAGCCCAAAAATCGGAAGTTCCGCGTGATTTTGAGCCCGAAAAATGCATTTTTCGGGTATTTTTCAGCTGAAAAAGTGCTTATTGGACCATTATTCCAGCCAAATTTGTGATTTTCAGACATTTTTAACCTGGAAAATGCATTATTCGAGGTTTGAGAACCCCAAAAATTTAGATTTTCAGGAGATTTTATCTCGAAAAACCCATAAATTTGAATTTTCAAGTTCGTCCACTGGAATTCTGAGTTTGAAAATGTCAAAATCGAGTTTCCCATGCTTTTCTACCACTGGAAACCTATTTTCAGCTCGCTAGTTCAAATTGTCGTAAGGTATGGTGTCTGGTCCGCAAACACCGTGACGATGCACCAAATTTCACGACAAATCGAGCTAAAAATCTGAAAAGTGGTGTCCAGGGGTAGAAAAGCATGGGAGGCTCGATTCTGACATTTTCAAACTGAAATTCTGAGTTTGAAAATCAGAAAATCAGGAAAATCTCGATTTTGACAACTAAAACTCCAGATTGGGGGCTTAAAATTATCAAAAACGAGTTTTCCTTGCATTTTTACCCCTGGAAACCAGTTTTCAACTTTCTAGCTCAAATTTTCGTGAAATTTAGTGCATTGTCGGCGTGTTTACGGACCAAACATCAGACCTTACGACAGTTAGAGGTAGAGAGCTAAAAATAGGCTTTTCAGAGTAAAAAATGATGGGAAGCTCGATTTTTACAGTTTCAGACTGAAATTCTGAGTTTGAAAATCAGAAAATCTGGAAAATCTGGATTTTGACAACTAACCCTCCAGATGGAGGGCTTAAAATTGTCAGAATCGAATTTCCCATCGCTTTCTACCCCTGGAAACCAATTTTCAGCTCTCTACCTCGAATTGTCGTGAAATTTAGTGCATCGTCGACGTGTTTGCGGACCAGACACCATACCTTACGACAATTTGAACTAGAGAGCTGAAAATTGGTTTCCAGTGGTAGAAACCGATGGGAAACTCGATTTTGATAGTTTCAACTCGAAATTTCGGCTCTAAAATGCTGAAAAATAGATTTTCCTCCCCGAAATTCAAAATTTGTAGCTGCTGTGACCCAGAAAATTGAGATTTCCCGTCAAAATTTTCAAATTTTGCAGTAGTTGAAAATCTCAAAAATCTTGGTTTTTAGGTGATTTTAAGGCATTTTCAGCAATTTCCTAATTTCCAGACGCCCCTCCGACACGTACTACGTCAACCGAGAGCACTGTCTGCGTGCTCACACCTCGGCTCATCAGCACACACTGATGAAACAGGGTCTGGATGTGTTTCTAGTGATTGGAGACGTTTATCGACGGGATGAGGTCGATCGGACGCACTATCCCTGTTTTCATCAGGTAATTTGAGCTGAAAATGGCTGAAAATCGACTGAAAATGAGCAATTTTGATGGAAAAATCGATGAAAATGTGCCTAAAATCATAAGAAATCGGCCTAAAATTGGGAATAATGGGCCAAAAATCTTGAAAAATGGGCTTAAAATCTCTGAAAATTGAATTTTAAGCCAAATTTTCAGATCGAAGGCGTCCGCCTCTATACCCGCGACGAGCTTCTCGGCAAAAAATCGGATGCCTCGGAAAACGCGGCCGAACTATTTACAGTAACCCGAGACGCCTCCAGAATTCCAGAAAAACAAGAAACGCACTCGTTGGATGCGGTAAAAGCCGCTGAAATTCAGCTGAAACAATTTTTGGAGAGCCTTTGCGACGAATTATTCGGCAGAGACGCCGACAAACGATGGGTCGATGCGTATTTCCCGTTTACGCATCCGTCCTGGGAGTTGGAGGTACCGAAATTCGAATTTCCCGCGATTTTTAGCCCCTGTCAGCTTTTTCGGAATTTTCGAGCTGAAACTATCAAAATCGAGCTCCCCGTGCTATTTTACCCCTAGAAACCGATTTTCAGCCTTCTAGCTCAAAGTGTCGTAAGGTTTGGTGTCTGGTCCGCAAACACGAAGACAATGCACCAAACTTTACGACAAATCGAGCTAAAAATCTGAAAAGTGGCGTCCAGAGGTACGAAAGCATGGGAAATTCTATTCTGATAATTTTAAGCCCCCAATCTGGAGTTTTAGTTGTCAAAATCGAGGTTTTCCAGATTTTCAAGCTTTCAGATCCAGAATTTCAGTCTGAAAATGTAAAAATCGAGTTTCCTATCACTTTTCACTCCTGGAAACCAATTTTCAGCTCTCTAGCTCAAAGTGTCGTAAGGTATGGTGTCTGGTCCGCAAACACGCCGACAATGTACTGGATCTTACGACAATTTGAGCCAGCAAGCTAAAAATTGGTTTCTAGGCCTAAAAAAGCATGGGAAACTCGATTTTTATAGTTTCTTATCGAAATTTAGGCTCTGAAATAGAGAAATTAAGGTTTATTAAAATTTTCACATTTTCAAAGTCAGAAGTTCGCTGGGATGCTATCAAAATCGAGTCTCCCACGGCCTTTTTCCCGTGGAAACCAATATTCAGCTCGCTAGCTGGAACTTTCGTGAAATCGGTGGTGTGCAGACCACACACCATATTGTAAGTCGCTTTCTTCAAATCCGCTCAGAATTGATGTGCCGGCATAACAATTATGGGAAAGTCGAAGCAGCAACTTTCACCTCTCAACAGTGGTTGAACTATCTGATTCATCTAATAAGAGATCTGGAATTTTCTCTGGTATTCTACAATGGCCAGTGGTTGGAAGTGCTCGGCTGCGGAATCATGGACCAGAAGCTTATGTAATCCGCCGGCGTCTCCGACAAAATTGGATGGGCATTTGGCATCGGTCTGGAGAGGATTGCGATGGTATAGTATGGAATTCCGGATATTAGCTGCGATTTTTGAGCTTTGAAGCCCAAAAATATGAATTTCCCGCGTCTTTAATCCCCTAGAAACACACCCATTTTCGGCTCGATAGCTCAAAGTGGCGTAAAATATAGTACATAGTCACGCGTGTTTGCAGGCCAGACGCCATACCTTACGACAATTTGAGCTAGATAGCTGAAAATTGGTTTTCAAGAGTAAAAA